TGACCCGGTGGCCGCCTTCTCCGCGGGCTGCCGCCTGAGCCCTTCCCTCTTCCCTCTAGCGGTAGGCTGGCAGCCTGACCGGTAGCGCCCGCAGGCTGGGCCTGGACGCGCCCGGTGCCTCTGCGGGGGGCCGGACTCCGCGGCGGGACCTGTGCGAGCCCCTGGGCCGGTGTCCACCCGGGGCCGGTGTCCACCCGCCGCCCTCCGCCGCCTTGCGGTGCAGCCTGGGTCCGCCCCCGGCCTTCACCGCGGCTCTACAGCTGCCCGTGGCACTTGGGTCTTCCACGCACCCGGTCGTGCTCGGGCTCCCGGCCCCAGGGCCTGTGGACACCCCTCCTTCTCCTTCGTGCTCTCAGCAGACAGATTGGCCCTGGGAAGTTTGGGGCAGCCCAGTTGCCTGGACAGGGCTGGTGAGGGACCTCTGACGCCCCGTCTCCTGGGGACATGATGAAGTAATGCAGAGGGGGCCCCTGCTGGCAGGGGGTGAGGACGCAGCACGCAGGCTGCAGCAGCTGCTTCAGCGCAAGTCCGATCCCCGCCCCGGAGGTGACCCCCAGGGCGCGGCAGACCCCTCCTGACCCCTCCTGACCCGCCCGCTGCTCCCCTCGGCAGTGGGCTTCATCGACCTGCCCGTTCTGTTCCCCACTCTGTCTCTGGTGAAGCCTCTCACCACCCCTGAGCCTCTGGCCTGCACCCCAGTTCTCTGTGCATAAATCTTAAAAAAAAATACAGAGGACTGATGATAATACTGGAGGAAATAAGATGACTTGGTGGGGACAGTGACCCCCTGCACACACACCTCAGTGAGCTCTGTGTGCCTGCAGGGAGGGCGCCCCTGGGACCCCCCCGCCCCCCGGGGCTCTGCAGCAGACCAAGACAAAGCAGATGTGCAGCGCTCCCCGGCGGCAGCGCCAGCAGGCCCGGCGGGCCCTGGGTCTCCAGGCGAAGGGCCGGGCCTGGCAGAGCCTCACCACTACCTCCAGCCCCAGAGAGCTGCGCCCCTCCGGGGGCCACACAGGGTGTGACTCAGGGCCCTCCCTGGGCCGTCACACTTCACACCCACCCGTGGGTGCCTGCCTGGTGCAGGCCAGAGGCCCCAGGGCAGCGGGGCCGGGGACGGCGCCTGCGGACACCCCCTGGCTCGTGCAGACGTCCCTCGGTGTGACCCCTGGGGGCCGGGCGGTCCTGGGAGAGAGCGGGAGGGACGCGAGCCTCCAGCGCTGGCCGCAGGTCACCACGAGGCCGCAACACTCACTCCGCGTGCGCACTGACTCCACCAGGTGCTGAGCACACCGGGCACTGACCCGACTAGGCGCTGACCCCCCCAGGCGCTGACCACACAGGGCGCTGACCACACCGGGCGCTGACCCCCACCGGGCGCTGACCCCACCAGGCGCTGACCCCCACCGGGCGCTGACCACACAGGGCGCTGACCCCCACTGGGCGCTGACCACACCGGGCACTGACCCCCACCGGGCGCTGACCCCCACCGGGCGCTGACCACACCGGGTGCTGACCACACCGGGCACTGACTCCCACTGGGCGCTGACCTCCACCAGGCACTGACCACACCGAGCGCTGACCACACCAGGCGCTGACCCCCCCAGGCGCTGACCACACCGGGCACTGACCCCAACGGGTGCTGACCCCCACTGGGCGCTGACCACACCGGGCGCTGACCCCCACCGGGCGCTGACCACACCGGGCGCTGACCCCCA